CAAAAGGAAAAGACTGGAAGATGAAAATAATTCATAAGGAAAGGTTGATAACCGTTGGGAACGAAGAAATGGGATTGGAACAAAGAGGAGAACCTGCTCGAAAGGGGGTACAGGACACATGAGGGGCCCGAGAGAGAGCTCGGCGCACATTCTGGAGTGAAGCCTCTATAAGTATTGTCTCTCTGTGGTGGCACGTTATCTTTGAATAAACCATAAAGTTGCGCAATACTTACCGCATCCGAGGTCCTTTTAATATGTAAGAAACCACGCTCCAGCTACACAAGCGTATTTCAGGAATCCATCTCCGCTGTGAATGTTATCTCAGGCACGTTCATTTAGTTCGTGTCCTTGAGCAAGGATCGTCTGTTCTAGCCATATCGTGCCCTACCCAAAGCTGGCCCATATTTGTAAGCACTGCCGTAGGTAGGGACACTCTGCTGTGTTCATGACAACCACCTCAGTGCCTTCAGTTGTGACCGTGTGTTATAGGAACCATTGCATAACTGAATTGGGTGAAAAGGAAATTGGAGGGAATTAATCAAGATACATCAACAAAAATATAGATTACAGGAATTTGAAACATGGGAGAAAAAAATGGGAGACCCAAATTCATTTTCAATGAAGAGGACATATGGTGATATCCTACAGATTAAAAATATGACCATCGGGGAGATGGAGCTAAATTGGCATTGCCTGGTGCCGCAGTAGCCTAAGGGATCACATCAACGAGGACAGTCGGCTCCGTGCTGTTGTGATTCACACAAATCAGTTTCCTGCCTATGAATGACCTTGAGCCACCACGTAAAGTCAACAAGTCACGCACTCAGATAGATACAGTGAGGGAACAAAGTATTTGATCCCCTGCTGATTTTGTACGTTTTCCCACTGACAAAGAAATGATCAGTCTATAATTTTAATGGTAGGTTTATTTGAACAGTGAGAGACAGAATATCAACAACAAAATCCAGAAAAACGCTTGTCAAAGATGTTATAAATTGATTTGCATTTTAATGAGGGAAATAGGTATTTGACCCCCTCTCAATCAGAAAGATTTCTGGCTCCCAGGTGTCTTTTATACAGGTAATGAGCTGAGATTAGGAGCACACTCTTAAAGGGAGAGTTCCTAATCTCAGCTTGTTACCTGTATAAAAGACACCTGTTCACAGAAGCCATCAATCAATCAGATTCCAAACTCTCCACCATGGCCAAGACCAAATCGCTCTCCAAGGATGTCAGCGACAAGATTGTAGACTTACACAAGGCTGGAATTGGCTACAAGACCATCGCCAAGCAGCTTGGTGAGAAGGTGACAACAGTTGGTGCGATTATTCGAAACTGGAAGAAACACAAAAGAACTGTCAATCTCCCTCGGCCTGGGGCTCCATGCAAGATCTCACCTCGTGGAGTTGCAATGATCATGAGAACGGTGAGGAATCAGCCCAGAACTACACGGGAGGATCTTGCCAATGATCTCAAGGCAGCTGGGACCATAGTCACCAAGAAAACAGTTAGTAACACACTACGCCGTGAATCACTGAAATCCTGCGGCGCCCGCAAGGTCCCCCTGCTCAAGAAAGCACATATACATGCCCATCTGAAGTTTGCCAATGAACATCTGAATTATTCAGAAGACAACTGGGTGAAAGTGTTGTGGTCAGATGAGAACAAAATAGATATATTTGGCATCAACTCAACTCGCCGTGTTTGGAGGAGGAGGAATGCTGCCTATGGCCCCAAGAACACCATCCCTACCGTCAAACATGGAGGTGGAAACATTATTCTTTGGGGTGTTTTTCTGCTAAGCGGACAGGGCAACTTCACTGCATCAAAGGGACCTCCTTCCCTCAGCCAGGGCATTGAAAATGGGTCGTGGATGGGTATTCCAGCATGACAATGACCCAAAACATACGGCCAAGGCAACAAAGGAGTGGCTCAAGAAGAAGCACATTAAGGTCCTGGAGTGGCCTAGCCAGTCTCCAGACCTTAATCCATTAGAACATATGTGGAGGGAGCTGAAGGTTCGAGTTGCCAAACGTCAGCCTCGAAACTTTAATGACTTGGAGAAGATCTGCAAAGAGGAGTGGGACAAAATCCCTCCTGAGATGTGTGCAAGCCTGGTGGCCAACTACAAGAAACGTCTGACCTCTGTGATTGCCAACAAGGGTTTTGCCACCAAGTACTAAGTTATGTGTTGCAGAGGGGTCAAATACTTATTTCCCTCATTAAAATGCTAATCAATTTATAATATTTTTGACATGCGTTTTTCTGGATTTTGTTGTTGTTATTCTGTCTCTCACTGTTCAAATAAACCTAACATTAAAATTATAGACTGATTATTTCTTTGTCAGTGGGCAAACGAACGTAAATCAGCAGGGGATCAAATACTTTTTTCCCTCATTGTAGGGATGCGTTTTCTTTAATGTGTGGAACAAGTTAGGCAATCTTCTGAATGCATTGTTTTACCAAGAATGTAAATCTATGCAAAGAGCTGTGATCACGTAGGAATGTCTTTTTTTATAGCCGACAACTTGCCTTGTTCGGCACACGGCATACTTTACAACAGCAGCCATTCACAACTACGTGGCGGTCTTGTCACCACGGCGCTTGTCTTTCGTTTAGTGCAGTGGCGGCTCCTGCAAAATCTCTCAGGGGGGGCAAATGTCTGGATGATTGATAAGGATAAGGTCCACCCATGCAATGGATAAATTAACAGCTTAAGCATGTAAAGGCAACTTCACTTCTTTAATATTAATGAAAAATAAAGTGACTCTTACAATACATCTTGTTTGCTTCTATACTCACTATTAAAACAAACCACTCAAGTTTATTTTATTAAAGATTCCACTAGGTGGCGATAAATTATATTGTTGGATGAAACGTGCTTACGTATGATGACGTTAGCACGTATGATGACGTAAGCACGTTAGTGCAAGCCCTCCCGGAAGCCATAGAGAATGCATTGGAGCACCCGCCGTTCGAAAAAAAACATCTTTCAATGTAAGTCTATGGGGCCACTCGGGGCGATTCTCAGCCGGAGTGAAATCGCCCAAAAAGAGGCGGTACTCCACAGAACGTGACATGACGCTGATTGGACTATATCCAGAGGCACAGTGACGGCTAGCGTGACTCTGTGGTTCAATGACATTGGTGGTGCGTCGCCCAATCGCCCTAATGAAGAAACCGCCCCTGGTTTAGTGCACTTGAGCCCACGTGAAGTGTTAAAGAATGGCAGGTCACAGGGACAGACCGAGATGCTATGGGTTGAAGGAATGAGACGAGTGGCAGTTGCACCAGCTGTGCCAACCTGCTCCATTGAAATGTCTAGTGCTTCACTCGTTGTGAGCGTTGCTCCTCTGCTGTGTTTGGAGGGCGACTATCTGCACTGCACAGTAAGCGTCCTTCACGAGCCTCCACCATAGAGGCCGATCTTGACACCCCTGCTACTAGACTTTGGCCAGTCCACGTAACTTTACAATATCCTGCACTCCATCAGCCCATCTCTTCGCTAGCCCGTGCTGCATCCAGTTCATCTCTATCTGGTCAAACAGAAGTGGCTGGGCAAGTAGGTTACATGACCCAGCCAATGCAGCCTCGAATTTGAGCTCCTCACAATACAACCACTTGCTTTGCAGTTTCTCCTCACAATACAACCTCTTGTTTAGCAGTTTCGTGCGCCGAATAGAGGACTATGTTACCTCCTCATGGTGAATGGAGCCAGCACAAGGCCATCACATCTCCTATATTCGAGATCCAGGGGGCGGTATCGGTCCAGAGGAATTCCAGCCTCTCTTTTTGCAGGGATACGTTTGAATATTTCACGTGGCCTAACCGCAATCGTTTAATGTTTCTTGGAGCAAAGCTGCCAAGAGGATGACCGTCGGGAAGAGAAGGGGCGACGATGTGAGCTGGTGTGCAAGAGCGAGATGGATCGTGGTGTCACGGAAGCGCCGGTAATGGCAGCGACTGGGCGGCTTCGTGCAATTGTTATACACGATAATGATTTTTTTCCGTGAAATGACTGTCATTTTTACAAACGATTTATGTTATTTATTCTCATTAACGTTTATTTTGGCCTTGCTCGCTTTGCCATCCTGCCCAGTACCACCTCGTTGCTATTTCACCAATAACGATGACAGCAACAGCTACAACAACAAAAAACTGTGACTACACATGCATAAACCACAACTTCAGCAAGTGGCAGTATCTACAGAAACAGCTTTTTAATGACGGGAGTGTTGTTAGTGGTTCAGGAATTCGCGAACTGTACTAAGCTGTTAGTAAGTTCGTAAGTTTAACCGTTAGACAATAATACTTGTAATGTGAAATAAAGTTTCAAAAGTAACTATCCCCCTAGAGGGTCGTTAAAAACAACAAAGTTTTATTCATTTCTGGTCATAAACAGGGTAATTGGACTGCTAAAATTGGTACTTTAATCGTGAAAATGTAAAGTAAATGTACTGATAATGTTAAAAGATTAAAATTAGTCGGATGATTTCCAAGTAGTCGGAAGATACAGTAGTCTGAATTCATGCATGACACATTTTTACAGTATCTTTTAATTTTACAGCATTTTTTTCCTGTAATTGCTGATGCGCGTGTTATCTGAAAGAGCTGACGTTCTATTTTAGAGTAAGTTACGTGGCTTAGTGCCTCCACTAAAGATCAGTATCATAGCGAGGAAGTAGGTGATGTATCAGAATTGTTACAGATGGAAATGTGTAAATGTTAAATGGAAAAACAAACCTGTTATTTTGATTAGTACTTATTAGGCGTTTAAAAAAGCACTCACACAGCCCAATGTATTTGGTACCACGTTTTATACCTTCACCAACTTCATTCTCAGGCACCTCCACGCGGCTTATAGCGCTGCCACCAATGCAGGTAATGTTCGCTTGTCCGCTCACCACAGTCCATTCGCCAGACCACCCGTTTTTACAACTGGACATGGTATGACCCTCCTGCCTACCCCACCCCACATGGTACATCCCCGCAAAGGAGAATACGCAGCTGGTTGCAACAGCTTCACCAAGTGTCCGCTATTTCTGACGCTAGAATTGGCTGCAGCATCTTAGTAGTAACCGAATCACCTCATTTGTATTCCTACGTTGACAACAAGTCTACAATTCTATTACTTTTCCATAAACTGGTTCAAAGGTAGCAGTCTATTTTATATTCTTACTTGAAGCTCAATACGGACTCTGCAAGGATCAGACTGCATTTTAGCAATGGGTAAGGGTCTTGTTTTATTTTTAAGTTATATAGCACATAGCAGATTGTGATTGTTTATATATCGTTTTCCAAAGTAATCACTCACTTTTAATGACATGCAAATATTTGTATCACGTGTCCTATATTTTAAAGTTCACAACGAAATAAACATAAAATACATTTTTTCAAATCTTAAAAGCATTAAGTGACTAAAACAAAATTAATGTTAACAAAAAGCATGAACATTTATCGACTTGCCAGCATTATCTATAGAAATAAATACCTCAATCTGTATGTCTCAACAAATCTCTAAGGAACTTCCAACAGGGTAAAAAAATGAAGTTCGGTACATAGATATCTTTTAGAAAACAAACAACAGGGAACATCTGAAATTAAGGGATTTTTCATTTTAAGGCCTTCAAATCTCGATTTTAAGTGCTCCATGAACACAGTTGTGCCTGGTGCCATACAAAAACCGTTCAAAATGTAAGATTGCGTTTTTTTGTTTGATAGAGCGCTAAAGTTAAAGTAAAATTAAAGCAAGACGCATTGGGGTTCTATCTTTGAATGTTTTGAGATCATTCAGATTCAAGCAGCGGTTGTGAGCGAAAAGAAATCCGCATGTCATTATGTTCAAAATCTAAATAATTCGAAGATGGTAGAATATAGGAGAGCTTTCCTTCATGGAGTATTAAGTTAACTATATTTTTAAAAAAAGAACGGGATCTTTAAATGGAGCGGCTTCCAATGGGTACGTCTTTAAATATAAGAAGTTATATCGAGTCTTAAGCAATGTTTGTGTATTTTTTCTGGAGCATTTGTTAATGTCTGATCGTAGATTTTAAAAAAATATATATATCAGGTTTATATTTAGATGTATTCAACACTCTTGCCTGGTGAAGACAGGCTTTATTAACTAATACGAAATAAATCTGAACTACGGGCTTGTTTATGAAGGGGTAGCGAAGTTTAAACCCGAGGATTCTAACAGCAGTGTTGCTCTGATGGATGAGGTGGAGCTCACAGGAACCGAAGTTCAGTTTTGAGCCAACAGGTGACGCATCACACTCGTCTCATATTCGCATCTTGGTACTGGTGCGGTCAACGTTGAGTCTTGATGTTTAGTAAAGACTGCATAATAAAAGACCCAGAGAGTTAAAGACACTTTGAATATGTTTCCCCCCTTTTTCTGGCAACAAAACAGGTGTTAAGATGTTAAAACACCAAACTGAAACCTTTTACAAGGAATCATGTCTTTTGTTTTATATAATATAGTATTGTCATCAGTATGACATAAGTATACCAAGTTTGCAGTCGATACCACATTAGAAAGTGGGTTAAAATTCAGTTACAAGATTTGAGGATACGACAACAACAACAGACAGATTGAGTTAAATAAAAGCGTGTAATAAAAAAAAAACCTTCATTATGTTTCAATACAACTTGGAAAAGCCTACTCGCACTTGTGAAACGAACTGCCGGACTATTTGGTTTGGTGGAGCGATCCTCCACCTGTAGTGAGTCCTCACGTCACCGCTGGGAGTGTGTACAAGCACGTGTGTGTATGTGTGTATGTATGTTTTATTGACCTGGTCAATAAGGCATATGATATCATCAGTAGGCCTGGGCTCTGGGTTGTTCTTTGTCGGTTCAGAGTCCCTGACCCTCTGCTCGCGATCATTAAGGACCTTCATGATGGTGAGCGGGCCCAGGTCAAACTACATGGCCGGGAGTCGTCGCCATTCCCTGTTCACCTTGGGGTGCGACAGGGATGTCCTCTGACTACCACATTATTAAACATATTTTTCGACCACGTACTTCGTGAAGGCTTTGATGGCTGTACCAGAGAAATTTCCATCTGGTACAAATACATTGGGAAGCGGATCGATGCATAGGTGCAGTCAAGGGATGGCACCCTATTGGTCAACCATGTTACGTATGCTGACGATCTGGTGATTGCTGTTCACTCAGAGGAGGAGTTGGAGGCGCTCCTACTAAAACTGGAGTGTGCCACTACCATCAGCCCCACCAAAACTAAGCACTTACCTGGGTATTTTGTACCATCGGGGACTCCACGGCTACAACTTCCAATCGGTGATGGTGATCTTTGTATGTGTCAGGATTGGTAGTGTATCGGGTTAGCGCTACACTGGTGTTACAAACCCCGTGACCCGAGTTCGATTTCCCCTCATGCCTAATACTGGTGACGATTACAGTGAGGGAAAAAAGTATTTGATCCCCTGCTGATTTTGTACGTTTTCCCACTGACAAAGAAATGATCAGTCTATAATTTTAATGGTAGGTTTATTTGAACAGTGAGAGACAGAATAACAACAAAAACATCCAGAAAAACGCACGTCAAAAATGTTATAAATTGATTTGCATTTTAATGAGGGAAATAAGTATTTGACCCCCTCTCAATCAGAAAGATTTCTGGCTCCCATGTGTCTTTTATACAGGTAACGAGCCGAGATTAGGAGCACACTCTTAAAGGGAGTTCTCCTAATCTCAGCCTGTTACCTGTATAAAAGACACCTGTTCACAGAAGAAATCAATCAATCAGATTCCAAATTCTCCACCATGGCCAAGACCAAAGAGCTCTCCAAGGATGTCAGGGACAAGATTGTAGACCTACACAAGGCTGGAATGGGCTACAAGACCATCGCCAAGCAGCTTAGTGAGAAGGTGACAACAGTTGGTGTGATTATTCTCAAATGGAAGAAACACAAAAGAACTGTCAATCTCCCTCGGCCTGGGGTTCCATGCAAGATCTCACATCGTGGAGTTGCAACGATCATGAGAACGGTGAGGAATCAGCCCAGAACTACATGGGAGAATTTTGTCAATGATCTCAAGGCAGCTGGGACCATAGTCACCAAGAAAACAGTTGGTAAACACACTATGCCGTGAAGGACTGAAATCCTGCAGCGCCCGCAAGATCCCCCTGCTCAATAAAGCACATATACATGCCCATCTGAAGTTTGCCAATGAACATCTGAATGATACAGAGGACAACTGGGTGAAACTGTTGTGGTCAGATGAGACCAAGATGAAGCTCTTTGGCATCAACTCAACTCGCCGCGTTTGGAGGAGGAATGCTGCCTATGACCCCAAGAACACCATCCCCACCGTCGAACATGGAGGTGGAAACATTATGCTTTGGGGGTGTTTTTCTGCTAAGGGGACAGGACAACTTCACTGCATCAAAGGGACAATGGACGGGGCCATGTACCGTCAAATCTAGGGTGAGAACCTCCTTCCCTCAGCCAGGGCATTAAAAATGGGTCGTGGATGGGTATTCCAGCATGACAATGACCCAAAACACACGGCCAAGGCAACAAAGGAGTGGCTCAAGAAGAAGCACATTAAGGTCCTGGAGTGGCCTAGCCAGTCTCCAGACCTTAATCCCATAGAAAATATGTGGAGGGAGCTGAATGTTCGAGTTGCCAAACGTCAGCCTCGAAACTTTAATGACTTGGAGAAGATCTGCAAAGAGGAGTGGGACAAAATCCCTCCTGAGATGTGTGCAAACCTGGTGGCCAACTACAAGAAAGTCTGACCTCTGTGATTGCCTACAAGGGTTTTGCCACCAAGTACTAAGTCATGTTTTGCAGAGGGGTCAAATACTTATTTCCCTCATTAAAATGCCAATCAATTCATACAAATTTTTACATGCGTTTTTCTGGATTTTTTTGTTGTTATTCTGTCTCTCACTGTTCAAATAACCTACTATTAAAATTATAGACTGATCATTTCTTTGTCAGTGGGCAAATGTACAAAATCAGCAGGGGATCAAATACTTTTTTCTTTCAGTGTATCTGAACCGGTCCTGGGCCTCCCCGAGGTCGACTCAGCCTCAAATAAGTACCTGGTACAGTGTATAAACATCACCACTAGGGAGACAAAGGCGGTCAAGCGTGGTGCTGCCCACCCAGCATTTTCTCCAACAATATGTTAAGGCTGTACAGGGGATCTTTGTCTTTGTGTGCACTTGCGAAAGTGTGCGTATGTGTAGTGGCGTTATTTCACACGACCAACTTCTTCTTCTTGTTTCTTTCGGTAAAGTCACGTAGAAGGGAAGTAATAAAATAATAAAAATAAAACATAATAAAACAATTCTCACGACGTTTCGGCTACAACGCAAGCAGCCGTCTTCAGGTGAAGAATGAGACACTACCAAACTAGGAGCTTATATATAAGCTGCATTGGGGGTTGAAGAGCGCCTTAACAGAAAGAATGTGCATGTGAAGAGGGATTTAGCATATTCATGGAAAATGCGTAGGCGTTGGGCGGGGGGGTGTCAAAGTCATATTATGCCCATGCATTATGCAGGATCAGCAGCAACCAAGGGGGGTGCAGGGATTAGCAGTAACATTCCTTTCCTTTGTTACTGCTAATCCCTGCACCCCCCTTGGTTGCTGCTGATCCTGCATAATGCATGGGCATAATATGACTTTGACACCCCCCCGCCCAACGCCTACGCATTTTCCATGAATATGCTAAATCCCTCTTCACATGCACATTCTTTCTGTTAAGGCGCTCTTCAACCCCCAATGCAGCTTATATATAAGCTCCTAGTTTGGTAGTGTCTCATTCTTCACCTGAAGACGGCTGCTTGCGTTGTAGCCGAAACGTCGTGAGAATTGTTTTATTATGTTTTATTTTTATTATTTTATTACTTCCCTTCTACGTGACTTTACCGAAAGAAACAAGAAGATGAATCCCTGCAGTCACGAAAGCTTTAAATCGAGACCAACTTCTTATTTTCTCCTGTGTCACTTTATTTGTACAGAACTCCTCACGTTCAAGACCACGCATCTCTGTCGCAACTGTTCCTCTTGTACTGCTCGTCTGCTACGCTCCGCTCGCCGTCTCTCGCTTTGCTAGCCTGCTGCATTGCCCTATGCCAGCTTCTCGCTATACACGCCGCTAGCTTCTCCACTACTAGCCTCTCACTATACACTCTGCTAGCTTCTCCATTGCTAGTCTCTCACTATACACTCCGCTAGCTTCTCTACTGCTAGTCTCTCACTATACACTCCGCTAGCTTCTCCACTGCTAGTCTCTCGCTATACACTCCGCTAGCTTCTCCACTGCTAGCCTCATCACCCTCACAATTAGGATTCCGCTAGCCTGTCTACCCTCACTCTTCCAACCTGGCCCTTGCTTCCAGCGGGGGATCAGCCAACACCGCTGGAGAGGACGAGGTTGGAGAGCGGGGTCCCGGACTTCCCTTGAATTCTCCCTTGTCTTCACTCCAACCAACTCCACTCCTTTGCCTCACACCTTCCCCTTTAATCCTCCTCATTAAGTGCCCCCAGATGCCTTCATTAAGCCAGCGTCCTCCCCACGCCTCACGCACGTGTTCTCCCCCTTATCTCCACTATCTCTCGCCTCCGTGGTGCCTACTCCGCGTTTGCATTTGCAGACAGCCAATCACTGCCTCTTTCCCTAATTGCTGGCGTCTCTCTGCCTGCACCTGCTTATCCTGAGCTGACCTCACTGTCTTCAACCCCATACATAATGCAACTGCTGTTGGCAAACCCTGTGCGCATTACTCCACTACATATGTCTTCGGAACAGAACCCCTTCGTAAATCGGGGACTGACAGATCCTCGCAGAAGTTCCACGGGTTCGTGCTAGTTGAATATTAATGTTTCACACATGTTGCGTGCTAAAAAAAAAAATACAAAAAAAAAAAATGTCCAGACAGACAAAGTAACAAACTTACCACTTGCTCCATTATAGTGTAACTAGTAGAAGTACACGGCGTTGCCCGGGTCGAAAATATATTTCTTAATAACCTTACATATATACACAGATGGGCTGCTACCCCTGCCCCCCCCCCCCCCCCCGGCCACGATCTCCTCGGCCTCTGTGCAGTAATATGTACGGCCTATAGTGTGGTGGGGTGTCGAGGCCTAGTACCGTGCAGAGCCTCCGGCCTCGCCTAAATTGCCCACCCGGCTGAGGCTGGGTACTGAGGCCGCTACCCCCCCCCCCCCGCGCTACAATAATACTGTCTAATCGCTATAATTTTATTATCTACCGACCCTATAATAGTAAGTGCACACATTGGGGTGGGGGGGAGTGAAGAGGGCGTGAAACTTTGATGAATTTACCTCAGAGTCGCGTGTTAATGCGTGCGCATATTTTTAATGGGAATTAAGAATGGCGTCCACCCCACAGAGAATGCGTCGCTACCCGTTGCCAGGGGCAACCGACGTGGAAAACCAAACGGACCAATCGTGTCTCGCAAATCCCTTACATTTCGTCCAATGAAACTGCGTATGGTCCGGCGACACACAGACAGACAGACACACACACAGACAGACACACAGATTTGCGATTTTATATATATAGATGCGAGCGTAAATGGGAAGGCCGGATGTGACGATCCGAGAGGGAGGAGTCAGGGTCACGTGGGAGGGGGAGGAGTCAGGGTCACGTGGGAGAGAGGTTATAGGAAGGAGCCCGGAAGAGATCTAGGCAGTCGAGGGAGTGAAGAGGCGAGACCACGTCGGGTGGCCGCCGTGCCATCAGCCGCGAGGTTAATAGGGCTTGGCACACCGCCAGCTAGCGGTGTGCAGATAGAGAGCGGAGTGTGCGGGGCGTACAGGGCGTGAGAGGTTGCACGGGGCTAGCAGAGTGGCTAGCGGGACCGTGCGAGTAGCACGGGGCTAGCGGAGGGCTAGCAGAGGGTGCGAGGTTGCACGGGGCTAGCGGAGGGCTAGCAGAGGGTGCGAGGTTGCACGGGGCTAGCGGAGGGCTAGCAGAGGGTGCGAGGTTGCACAGGGCTAGCGGAGGGCTAGCAGAGGGTGCGAGGTTGCACGGGGCTAGCGGAGGGCTAGCAGAGGGTGCGAGGTTGCACGGGGCTAGCGGAGGGCTAGCAGAGGGTGCAAGGTTGCACAGGGCTAGCGGAGGGCTAGCAGAGGGTGTGAGATTGCACGGGGCTAGCAGAGGGCTAGCAGAGGGTGCGAGGTTGCACAGGCAGCAGAGTAGCTGCAGAGTGTGCGGGAGCACACGGAGCAGCGGGGTGGCTGCAGAGTGCGCGGGGCGCGAGGAGAGACGACGCTGGGCCGAAGAGGAGGCCAGCGGGGTGCGGAGGAGAGGAACATCAATAAAGGACAGACGGAGACCAACATCGCGAGAAGGAGTCCTTTATTACAATAGTATCGAGTGTGCCTTTCCTTTACAATTATGTACACTTGTTCATTTGTTTTGCAGGAAACAATCTAATGAAAAAGCCCTGGCGTGATGTGGAATTCTCAACCAGGTATATCTTCTTCCACGCATTTGTCCCACTCATGTGGGGTCGCTGTCCTTGCCAACCTTGTCCACACTGCCCTCTCCTGCACCATCTCTCTTTCCGCTCCTCGGGCCACTATGGTCCGATCGCACCACATCGTCTCTCTACCTCTTCTTCTGCCTTCCTCCTCTAGATCTCTTTCCTTCTCCTTGCATTACATGCACCTTCTGACCCACATACTTTTCCTGTTGTCTCTCCACATGATCGAACTACACCATTTTTTTTTCTCTCATCTTCTCTGTGATTTCTACCACCTTGATTATTCCTCTCAATTCTTCATTTCTCACCCTGTCTTTCCTTGTTAAACCAAACATCCACCGCAACCGCCTCTTCTCTGTGACTGCCATACTTGTTTTTTCCTCTTTCTTGTGTCTTCACCAGGTATATATCTGTATTTCTAATATCATCTGATTACATTTACAGGCTAATTATGTCCTGTGTGTACACATCTGGATGTGTGATGGGCAGCTGAGACATCTGGGCATAGAAGTAGGGGAGGTAGCGTGCGTAATTCATCCATGGGATCATTGCTCGAATGCTTGCCAAGTGTAGCGTCCAGTCTCCCTCTCTGGATGCTCAGTTGAGCCCCAACAAGATTTCAACCATCTCCAAATAGGACATCCAGAAGGTCGAGAGGCTGCCGTTTCTACCTCTGAGGAACTCGCGGTAGATTTCAAACATTTCCATGATGCATGTACATGAACTGTTCTCGAGGACCTTCTACAAAGCAGCTTGTGTCTCATCGAGGCAAACCATGTCGTTCATGTGAGTTGCTTACAACCAGGACAGGACACCATTCCATGTCATTCGCATGAGAGCTTAGTACAGGAGTTTGTGTAGTCGCACTGCTCTGTTGTACCTGCGGACATCCATAGCACCTCCAGATAATATTTTGAATACAGTCAGAAGATAGAGATCTTCAAACACCACACAGATGGAGGCAATGATCATCGAACATCCACGTTGTTGAGCTGGCCATGACGTCTGGAGGGCTGACTTCAGAAACAAGTTTTATTAACTCGGCTCCATTAAGGAAAAAGCTAAAGAGGGAAGAAAATATCCTTCAAATACATCCTCAATGCCGACACGACGTGCTACATGAACTACAGCTCGTGGAAGAATATTGCACAGGATCGTTCCGGGTGGGGTAGGAGTCTGCTGCTGAAAATACCTCGCATTTGAAACCATATGACGACAACAGGTATAGGAAAAGCTGGAGTGGCATAAACAGCAGCGTGGCTTCAGACTGAATCAACAAGCCGGGGCCCGAAGTCCAACTAAAAAACACGCGGTGCCCGAGCTGTAACAGTGTCTGTCAATCCTAGATTGGTCTTAGCCATCTTCGGACCCACAAAAAAAGACAATGAAGACTTGTGCATCCATCTTACCATAATCTTGTCTTCACTCTAGTCTAGATGTCCACTGTGATCCACACAGGGAGTTATTATTATTTCAAGGACCTAATTGTACTGACTAAACAAATACACTACAATGTGACAACGTACTGTATCTAGTACTGGCAGTGTCACTCAACTCCCGTGTAGGTAATTGTTGGGATCTAGTACTCCCCTCCAATTCCTTTGCGCTCTCGTTTTATACAAAGCCCTGAGCCATTGATTGTCAATGGGAGAGCAGCTCTCCACGAAGTCGTTACACTTGGTGGCCTAGAACACGTTCCTTCGGAGTGGGCAGGTAGGAACTTGGTTGGACAGCGCATTCGTGCGATCCGTGTTGGATACCATAGTCGTGTTGGAGGTTGTAGCTGTTACTATTGCATCTGATGATGATTGTTGTTTTATTGGTGTAGGTCTTTAAGTTCATGCAGCTGCTGCAGCAGGTCGCGCCTGTGCTGTGACGCCGCCTCCTGCGTGTACCACGCGTGCCAATCCACCTGACCTGGTCCTTGAACGGCCAAGATGTTGTCGTAATGGCGCACAAGGTGCATGATGTTGAGCAGGGCGTAGACGCCGCAGTCGTAGCCGTTCGGTTGCTGCGGCACAAGCACCGTGGTGATTGCCACGGTGGTGATCGCCACCGGCGTGCTCACCGATTCGGCGCGCACGACCCGGTCCACCACCGTGCTGGCGAAGGCCGCGATGTTCTTGGCGTTGTGCGACTGCCAGCACGCAGCCATTGAGTCTAACAGCATGGCAGTCGACCTTGGTGGGCACGTGGCGTTGACGATGACCAAGATCTGCCAGTGCGATTGCTCGTGGATCGTATGATCCACACGGGCCTGGAAGACACGCCATCAAAGACGCAATTCAATTCGTCGAGATGGCCCGCCAAGAACTTTGTGTACAGGAACGTGTTGAACAGGTGGACGTATGCCACTCGCGGCAGGCAGTAGAACTGCCCAAACAGGTTGATGATGGTGTCGTTCAACCACTGGCCAGGTTGTAAGCAGCGGAAGTCGTTCGGGAACAGCCTTCCGTACCCCGGAACGAAGACGACGTATTCGACCGAGACAGGGGGCGGACAACGTGGAGTGACGCTGGGCGGAGGCGGGCTTGGTCGCCGCTTCACCGCCACAGCAGACTCTTACGGCGTTGGAGCTGGCTCCTCCAGCCGCGACCGTTTCCCGCGCAGGACGAGCGGATCGGGCGGAGGCAGGCTTGGTTTGGACCTCCACTGCTTCACCGCCACAGCAGACTCTTGCGGCGTTGGAGCTGGCTCCTCCGGCCGCGACCGTTTCCTGCGCGGGACGAGTGGCTTGCGAGCCTGTGGTCCCACACGTGGTTGCCACATGCCGTTTTTGCCAATGTCCATTCGCCATTTCGTCGAATGTATATTCGGCTGCAACGTCTTGAGGTGCGCCTTCCGGAACGAGAGCGCCAAAGGAAAACAACGGAATCGACACGCCTGCCGCACGCGGCTGAACATCACGTACAGCAACTCGAATGACAGATTCGGGCTGCCGCAACTTGGCTCCAGCAGGGCGATGATGTATGCGAACGTCGCGCCCTGGCATTTCCATGTGGTGATTGCGAACGAAAGGTCGAACGCGTGCATCTCGTAGGCGACCGTGACCTTGCCAATCTGGATCGTCTTCGGCTTGCGTTTCATCAGTCCGATCGGGATGTGGACCGCGTCGACACCACCGTCAGCATCGCGCAGGGCGATGTTGAGATGACGCGGCCATGCGGCCACATCGACCCCATGCACGGAGACGATGATATGGTCAGGCGGCATCGGCACGTCAATGACACGGCGGACGCCATCGTCGCCGCTATCGCTTTGGGCACGTATGGCGGCGATGGTGGTGCGGCGTTCATCCGCATTGTCCCACACGACGGATACCAGCATGCAGGGCGTACCATTCGCGACATTGTAGACAACGTTGCCATTGGCATTGTCAAGGATCTGGGCAGGGCAGCCAGTGACGAAGTACCCGAACAGCTCGGGATTGTCCTCCTGGTAGAGCAGTGACTGCAGCTAGACAGGAACGTCGCGCTTCAGGCGCTGACGCCACCGCAAAACGTGTCGACCCGTGGCGACGGCGACATGTACAGCACGTGCAGCATTGATGACGGCCCGATCGCGATTGCTTGTCATCAGGCACGTGAATTCCGTGAGCCAGGCCGGATCTGCAGCAATCTCGGTCTTGGTAATCAGTGCCGTCAGGCCATCGATTATGTCGTCGGTGATGGGGCGGAAGGCGCAGTCGGCATCCGTCCAGCGGGTCCCCGTCGGGTAACGCCGTGGTAGCACCTGCATCCCCTGGAGGCGCCGGCAATGATCCGGACAGCCAGCGGCCCGGAGCTGCTCAGTGATCTCGAATACATGGAATCGCTCGAATAGGGAGCGCGCCATCAGGTCTTCCGACGACACGGCGCCGTACATGACACGATATAAATCGCGCCTGCATGTGTAGTGACATAAGAAGGGAGGGGCTGCTGGGGGCTCTGGGTTCCCAGGCGAGTCCAGACGCTTAAGCCTCTGGGCGCCAGGTGCTGGGTTCCCAGGGGGTCCAGATGCTTAAGCCTCTGGGCGCCAGGCGTTGGGTTCCCAGGCGCTTAAGCCTTTTTGGCGCAGCCAACGGGGGGGGGGGCTGTGTGTGCTCTGTGGGATGTCTGGTGGCGCACACGGCCCCACCCCTCGTTGGACCAGGCATAAAAGGAGAGCTCCCTGGACGATCAGGGCCCAGTTGTAACTCAAGACCCAAGACCCACGACCAGCCATCTGAAGACCCTGGGATGTTGTGAGAGCGAGTGGTGGGACTCTGGAACTCCCAACTCTACGACCTTGTGGGGCGAGTTCCAGAGCGTAGCCAGAGTAGAGTATCTAGGCTGTGTACCTAGGCTGTGTACCTCGGCTGTAACAGAGTATCAGGACTGTTGGAGTGTTGTGTTGTAATAAAGAAGTTACCTCTACAAGTGTCTCCGGAACCCGTTACAAATGTAACCGGCAGCTGTATGAAGTCACCCACCAGGAGGATGGAGATGCCCCCGAAAACCACGCGCGGATTGTACATTGAGCGCAGGCGCTGGTCCAACAGCACGAGGAAGGCAGCCAGCAGCATGCCGACCTCGTTGATGACGACAAGGCGCAAACTGTCGCCGCCGATGATGTTGAAAATCAAGTCCACCAGCTGGCCGGTGTTCAGGTCCTTGACGAACGACTTCCACATGGCAGCAAAAGTCTGCTCCTGGGGCAGCGGGCAGGCGCCGACGCCGGTGTAGCAACAGCAGGCTGTTGTGCCGCCGCGTGAGACGATTTCATCGGCGGTTTTGTGGATGCAGACGCTCTTCCCGACGCCACCACCGCCGTGCATCATGAGCAACTTCTGTCCGGGCACGTCGACGATTTCCGATGCGACACAGTACTGGCCATCGGTCAGAAAGCACGGCCCGATTTTGACCATGGCCTCGTCATCAAACATCGGATCTACAGGGCCGCCGTTTCTTCCACGGCCACTGGCGGCGCCAACGTCACCGTGATCGGTTTGGTGCGGTTCGAGGGCATGG